AAAACGTAATGTCTGGCAGCAGAAGATGAGGGGAAGACCAAGAAAAGAAGAGCGAAAACACAATGGAATTTTTAAGAAAACTCATGAACAATGGAATACGAGGCAATGGATTGGTGTTTGCAACAGAAACAGTCCAGTTTGATATGATGCATTAATATTTTGCGAATTGACGATTTACTATATGGTATTCAGATTTTATTGAAATAGTCTGTAATTTTCGTGCTGCTAAATACATTCGATTGTGACACTCAGATCAATCAGCAATTAACAAACATATTGAAATCAATCCAATTTATTAACCAATCAGGAAAATCATGCATAAATATAGGAACAAAAATCAAACCAATGGGAGACACAACCAAAACAAAGAAGTAAACAATGATAAATTTAAGGTCAATGAGAACCAATCAACATCGAGGTGCACAGAACAAGCTATGAAACATATATGGAGAAATTCTAACACTCCACTTATATTTGAAGTTTGTGCTGATGACGTCGTTCATAAGAACGATGAAAGCTCCACGACCAAACCATCCAGCTCAGAGAACAAAACTCCACCAAAAACATTCGATTGTCCCCAACCCGTGTTCCGTTCATTACACTACTACCAGTCATTTGACAGGTTAAAAACAATCAATCAATATCCTTCAAATTTCGGCGAGATTATAATTTATGTACGAACCAATCAGATATATGCTTATGTCATTTCGTGATGAAAACTTACTTACTTACGCCTGTTACTCCTCGTGAAGGAGCATAGGCCGCTCACCAGCATTCTCCATCCAACCCTGTCCTGGGCAATCCTTTCTAGCTCCGCCCAGTTGTAATTCATCGTTTTCATATCTGCTTCTATTATCCGACGCAATGTGTTCTTTGGCCTTCCTCTTTTTCGCTTCCCTTCAGGATTCCAAGTTAGGGCTTGCCTCGTGATGTGGTTTGATGATTTGCGTAATGTATGTCCTATCCATTTCCATCGTCTTTTCCTCATTTCTTCTTCAGTTGGAAGTTGGTTTGTTCTCTCCCACAGAAGGCTATTGCTGATGGTATCCGGCCAATGGATGTTGAGTATCTTGCGTAGACAGCTATTTATAAATACTTGTACTTTCTTGATTGTGGTTGTTGTAGTTCTCCAAGTTTCAGCCCCATACAGTAGAACTGCCTTAACGTTGGTATTGAAGATTCTCACTTTGATATTTGTTGAAAGTTGTTTTGAGTTCCATATGTTCTTCAATTGTAGGAATGCGGCCCTTGCTTTGCCAATCCTCGCCTTTACGTCTGCATCTGAACCTCCATGTCTATCGACGATGCTTCCCAGATATGTGAAGGATTCTACATCTTCCAGAGTTTCGCCATCAAGAGTGATTGGATTGCTGTTCTCCGCTTTGAATTTGAGGACCTTAGTTTTCCCTTTGTGTATGCTGAGGCCTACTGATGCAGAGACTGCTGCTACACTGGCTGTCTTCATCTGCATCTGTTCGTGTGTACGTGATAGGAGGGCTAGGTCATCTGCGAAGTCCAAATCGTCTAACTGGTTCTGAGCTGTCCATTGTATGCCGTGTTTTCCCTCAGATGTTGAGGTCTTCATAATCCAGTCGACCACCAGAAGAAAGAGGAGGGGAGAGAGTAAACAGCCTTGTCTGAATTCGGTCCTTACTTTGAATGCATCTGTCAGCTGTCCTCCATGCACGACCTTCCACTGTAGTCCGTCTTATGAGTTCCGGATAACGTTGACAATCTTCTCAGGAACTCCGTAGTGTCGAAGAAGTTTCCATAATGTCCTCCTATCTACACTGTCGAATGCCTTTTCATAATCAATGAAGTTGATTTATAGTGACGAGTTCCACTCAACTGATTGTTCGACGATGATCCGTAGTGTTGCAAATTGGTCTGTGCACGACCAATCCTTACGGAATCCAGCTTGTTGATTTCGAAGTTGGGCGTCTACTGCATCCTTCATCCGGTTCAGCAACACTCTGTTGAAGACTTTCCCTGGTATTGACAGTAGTGTGACGCCTCTGTAGTCTTCACATTTGCTCAGATCTCCTTTCTTTGGAATCTTGATGGAGTGTCCTTCTTTCCAGTCCATCGGCACTTGTTCCTCCTCCCAAATCTTTTTGAACAGTAGGTGAAGCATGTTTGTGGTTACTTCGATGTCTGACTTCAGTGCTTCAGCTGGTATGTTGTCGGATCCTGCTGCTTTACCGTTCTTGATTTGTCTGACGGCCATTCTAATTTCTTCCGTCGTTGGTGGGTTGACATCTATAGGAAGATCTGTGTGTGCTGCTTCGATGTCCGGTGGATTCATTGGGGCCGGCCTATTCAAGAGTTCCTCGACGTATTCTACCCATCTGTTCCGCTGTTGTTGAATTTCAGTGGTTGGCCTGCCTTCTTTGTCTTTGACCGGCCTCTCTGGTTTACTGTATTTCCTTGCTAGTTTCTTCGTTGTATCGTCAGGCTGTTTACTATTTCCTTCTCTAACAGCTTTTTCTGCCGTCGTTGTTAGTTCTTCCTCGTATTTCTTCCTGTCGGCTCTAATGCTCCTCTTCACTTGCTTGTCCGCTTCTATGTATTCAGCTTGTGCTTGGACTTTCTCTGCTCGTGTTCAGCTGTTGTTAGTTGCTGCCTTCTTGTTCTTCCTTTCTTTGACCTTGTCCAGTGTTTCTATAGAAATCAATTCCTTATGATGGTGTTTCTTTAGGCCCAGAACCTCTTGACACGTTGAAGTTAATGCTTCCTTGATACCTATCCAGTTGTCCTCCATACTAGTTTCTTCTTCCTTCAGTAGATCTTGAAAGGCTTGGAACCTGTTGTTGAGAGCTATCTTGAATTCACTGAGTTTGTCAGTATCTCGAAGGAAGGCTGTATTGCACCTTTGTATTGCTGTTTGTACAGTTGTCCAGTTCTTCTTAAGATTCAGTTTTAAATTGGCCACAACTAGGTGGTGATCTGAAGCTATGTCAGCTCCTCTCCTGGTTCTCACATCTTCCATTGTCCTTCGGAATTTTTTGTTAATGCAGATATGATCTATTTGGTTCTCTGTAGTGTGGTCCGGTGAGATCCATGTAGCCTTGTGTATACGCTTGTGTGGAAATACTGTGCCCCCTATGACCAATTTGTTGAATGCACACAAATTTGCAAATCTTTCTCCATTTTCGTTTATCTCTCCCAGTCCATGTCGTCCCATAATATCTTCATATTCGGTGTTGTCTATTCCGACTTTGGCATTTAAATCTCCCATTAGAATAGTGAGGTCCTTTCTTGGGCATTTCTCTATGATTTACTGCAGCCGCTCGTAGAATTGATCTTTAATGTCGTCGTTGCTATCATTGGTGGGTGCATAACATTGGATAATATTCATTAAGATCCCCTCCTTCTTTGTTTTGAATGATGCTTTGATGATTCTGGATCAGTGAGATTCCCATCCTACAATTGAATTTCGTGCTACTTTGGACAGCATTAGAGCAACTCCTTGAGTGTTTGAAGCATTTTCCTCTTCGTGATCGAAGTATAGCAGCATCTCTCCCGTAGCTAGCCTTTTCTGTCCAGCTTGGGTTCAGTGGGTTTCGCTGATTCCCAGTACTGCTAAGTTGTATCTCCTCCTTTCCGTTGCTATTTGACTGGTCTTCCCGGTTTCCCACATTGTTCGAACTTTTCATGTACCTATAAAACTTTTTGCTCTGGCTGTTAGAAGGGGCATCGGCCTGATGGCTTCCGAAGGAACTCGGCTTTCACCATGAAGCGTCATAAATCTTCTAAATTAAGACCTTCTAACTCCCAGGGCAGAGTTAAAATGGTTTGAATTATTTTTTCTGGTTAGCGTTTTTTTAGCGAGTTAGTTTTCTACGGGATGGGGACGCTAACCCCATGCCCGATCCTCCTCGTTTACCCGGGCTTGGGACCGGCAGTAACTCTAGAAGAGCTACAGGCGGAGTTTCGTGATGAAAACCCTAAATCAAATTTTGAACCCTAACCATCAACTGTAAATGAGAATTGTAACTGATTTACAACCATCATTTAGTTTTATTCAATAGGTGTCCACACTCAATGTCACTTCAGCGTCGCTACATGGTCGTCCATAAATTATAATCTCACCCGAATTTCCTCTTAATTTCTTTAGATCTTAATTAAACTGTAAAATCACATGATCAAAAACTGTAAGTCGGTCAAAAAAAACGAAAGATCAAAGAAGGTTGATATGATGAGGATAAAATATGACAAATATTGATTAGCTTGTAACGTCCATTTTTATGTTAACTTGGTCATTTAACTGATAGATTATGCTACTTTATTTGGATAAATTATACACAAATGAGTTTTAATTCCCTAAAATAAAACATAGTCCGTCAGTGTTTTTTTTCATTGAGAATTAAATGCTCCACTGCTTCTTGAATTAGATATTTATGTTGAAGGCTCCTAAGAAAACCAACTGCTACGGTTTGGGCACCCGGGCAGTATCGCAGCCCTCATACAAATCTCGTTTGATTTATGTGGCGCATATGTATTTTGTGCCTCCTTGTACCAATATCTATATGTTAAAATAAAATGAAAATATAAATTGTCTAAATCAGATCATAATACTAATCCACAATGTCATCAGTGTAAAATGAACGCATAGGAGTAGTATTGAAAATTCCAAATCCTCAAATATAATCAGTCTAGGTATGAAAGAACATTCTTCTAATGTGGTGATTAAGATGTGTGTTACGCATACCTAACTACCACCTATCTTGACGCGTAATACTGGCCTGGGTTAGAAGTAGGTTTAAGAAATTGAGGGAATAAAACTTAAAAAATAGCATCAGTTCATAAAGACATTGACTACTAGTCAGTTAGTGTGTTTTTTCATTAGAGAATTAAATGATCGATTCTATGGAGAAATCATCACTTTATAGTCACAATACCGTTAAAGTAGTCATAACTGAAATCAAGTAAATTTTTATAACAGGAATGTATAAAACAATACCATGATACAAGACAGTATCCAATTTGTGTTTTACCTTGTGGACTGATTTTAAAACCCATGGAATAGACTGATAATCCCTAGTTGAATCGCTGGATAGGGGGGAGGTCTATGGATGGATACTCATGGCTGAAGATTTCCACTACAGAATGAAATGGCTATTCAATGTTATTGGATTTTCGAAGGTTGTCTAGCAAAACTGTTTGTGATATAATCAACAAATGCATGCCAGCGTTCACTTCATTACTGATACAATTAAACACAATCATATTTTATAATTGTAAGTTGATGGTGACATTGTAACAGAACAACATAGAGAAAACACAAACAAATTGATTTGAAGGAGAAGAAGATATTTATTTACATTTCCAGGAAATTACTGCTCTCAAAAGAGAACATCTAATTCACAGGTTCAGAATTTATCGGTACCAACCGTTTTTTAGCGTAAACCATAATACCACCAGTGTGGTGGTTCATTTCCTCTACGCCATATGCAATCAACACGTAAATCGACATCCACTTCTTTAGTGTCATCTTTTTGATTATCCACTGTGTTTTCACCTCCGTCTGTTTCGGCACTTTTCAATGTGATTTCATCAGTAACCTGTTCATTCTGTTTTTGTTTTTGTCTCTCTAAATATTTCATCATTGCAATACGAGCTCTATGTGCCATTAAATAAGATCTTGGATGTATTGGTAAAAATCCACATAATCCTAATAATTCAGCTACACGAACAGTTGGTTCAGCTCCCATACCAATCCAGTAGGAGATACGTTCAAAATTTAATGCAATCAACTGTTCTCCATGAATATTAGGCAATGGATCCCATGAACCGACTTGTTCAATACCATTCTTTTTCGATTCAGCTAAGTTAGATTTAATCTGTAATATGGACAAAATGAATAATAAAATGAAGAAATAGTAAAGGAAATTAGTGTCAGTCGTAAAATAAACATAATTCCTGGTTTAAATATACACTGGTCTAGATTTTTATATCGTTTCAAAGCAGTGTAAGAAAATTATTAACAAGGCACATGTTAATACAATCAAAATCGTAGTATCGTTCGCCTTGGTTTAAAGAAAAACTCGATGTGAAGATTATTGCTTAGAAAGAAGGGAATAGTTCGTAGAACAAAAGATGTGAATATTGAGGAGCAAAATTCGAACGACTTCTCTCTCTAGTTAGCGGGGCTGGGACGCATCAAAATAGCTAGCTTATTGGTCTTTGGTCACAGAGTCTTTGTTCCGTTCGCAGACTAGGTGAATACTTAGTTTCTTTAAACACAGCAAAATAAACAGGTAAGTTGTTACATTGCAATATTAAACAATGTCTCTAACCACTGACTACATGTGAATGTGAGGAGTCTAATCAAGTAGTTTGCGTCCATTAACAAACTAATAGTCAATATCTTTATGAACTGATGCTATTTTTTAAGTTTTATTCCCTCAATTTCTTAAACCTACTTCTAACCCAGGCCAGTATTACGCGTCAAGATAGGTGGTAGTTAGGTATGCGTAACACACATCTTAATCACCACATTAGAAGAATGTTCTTTCATACCTAGACTGATTATATTTGAGGATTTGGAATTTTCAATACTACTCCTATGCGTTCATTTTACACTGATGACATTGTGGATTAGTATTATGATCTGATTTAGACAATTTATATTTTCATTTTATTTTAACATATAGATATTGGTACAAGGAGGCACAAAATACATATGCGCCACATAAATCAAACGAGATTTGTATGAGGGCTGCGATACTGCCCGGGTGCCCAAACCGTAGCAGGTGGTTTTCTTAGGGAGTCACGCCCCGAGCCTTCGACCTGAAGGTTTGATCCACAAAGCAATGGAGAGCGTAAGTAGATGTTGTCCAATGGAAGCCGGTGACCAATAATTGGTTCATATGCCATTTGTTCTTTCAGGATACTAGAGTCCATGTGCACGATTGGTTTGGAATTCGGGTAAAATCCAGAAATTCACTTTTCGTCCTCACTTTCGTAAAACGCACCGCCACGAGAATGCAGTGAGGACTTCCCTGGCAGAGGCTATAGACGTGTGGCCATGTGAGAGCATTTCGAGAGGGGAGAGCGTACTCTCCCCACTCTCAACCGTACCATGGCATTTGAAAGGGTTTGTGATTTAGAAAAACAAAACTATTTAATGACAGTCATACGTTTTAACTGACAAAAAATTACGATGAAGACATTTTGGCCAAATAAAATGCACAGTCATTTACATGAATACTGAACTTTTTAACTAGGCAGAAATAATAAATTCTTAATTACTATGGCAGAGATATATCTGTTGATATGATGATGTTTCATTGGGTTGGAGCGTATAGACTACCACATAGGCTTGGTTTTGTGCATCGTTTCGTTATCGGCAAGTAGCATTTTGTGCACTCATCAACCGTTGTGCACATAAACAATATTGAAACTTTTGTAGAAGATGAAAAAGTTTTTGAGACTTTATCATGGCTCCGGAGGCCGAATACTCTGTAGCCATACGGATTATTTCCTCCATTGGATGAATTGCGTTTTTAGAACCTTTGAACCTCTTTCTGGCCCTGACAAGTATTTCAACCGCGTATAGGAAATGTATCCACTTTATTTCCTTGGTTTTGTGTAATATATATTTACTCTATACTTAGTGTTTGCTGATTGTCTAATATTCTCAAAGTCAATTAAAAGTCGTCCAAATGTCGTCCATATATTATTCTGCGTATGCCTTACTTCAAATGAATTTATCCGTCAGGTCGAAATAATGCCATTTTCAATCTGAATTTTGGGTCCGGGCAGTAAATGGTGAGCTGAAACTCGCCTCTATTAAAACCGTGCACAACCATCCTTGCACATAATGATATATTTCTGTCGATCCATCGGGACAACAGTAGACGTCAAATGAACGCTTGTATTTAAGAGCGTTTCTACTGAGTAATACACCAACTCTTAGCTTACGGCATATGGTTTCTTGGAAGTTCCATAGATAGCTTACCAAAGACGATATCGCCAAAATGCGTTCACAGTTATACCCGGGTTGTTGAACTCATATTGTAATTAATTGAGTTTAGACACTAAAAAATATCAATGACATTTTACAGCGTGTTCAAGCGAACACTGAAGTGAAAGTATTCAATGAGAATGGGAACATATCAATGATTCGCTTCAGCAGCAGGGAGCGAATAGCTGTTCACCACGAGTTCCTGGATGTAATATGTATTGATTCGACTTATCAGACCAACAAAGTTGGGTAAGTAACGATTAGTAATAAATTTATCTTAAAGTTTTCCACTGTTCCAGCTAGTGGTGACTGATAGTCTTGGGCAAGGACGCACTGTTATGTATGCTCTTTGCAGTCAAGAACGACGCGATGTCGGAAAACTATTGGAATGCTTGAAAGAGATAATGTGCGGTACTTATGATACACGCACTTTCATTATGGATTCGGCAGCGATCGAAATTTCAGCTGTGCAGTCTACGCACATTGTAACACAATACTTTATTCATCCCATGCCTTAAGAACATTTTTCAGGAAGGTTTGTGTTAGCTGTACAAATTATTTTCTGTAGTTTCGAAGTCTTAATTTAGGCAAATGCTTGAAACAGCTTGTGAAAACTAAACGGTCTGATATGTGAGCTTCGCTTTTCATATCGCATTATATTCCGATTTACTCGGAAGTACGATCATCTAAGGACGCATTTCCCACGGACGTATGGTTATATAAAAGGTTACTGGATTGCCCGGAAGTCAATGTGGGCTAGCTGTTACCGGCGACATGTGTTAAACCTGGGCAACCACACAAACAACCGTGTCAAAGGTACTTAAAGGTCGTCCATAAATTATTCTCGACAAACTTACAGAACAATTGTGGAACGTCCAAGCAGATTACTCACTTATTTGGTGAAAATAATACGTCAAAGTAATGAATCGTTATTACGTTACTAGATAAACTATACAAGAACTCATTCGAATAAGGAAACATGTACTTATTATTTTAGTAACATACCAGTTTCCGGACCAACGAACTTCGAAGTGTAGCATGATAGAAAACGCTCAAAATGGCACATATATGGTTCAAATGGTTGTGGACGGAATAGAAGAAGCTTTCGCTTAACAGGCTTCCGTGTCTAGTAGCAGGAGATCACGAAATCCTTCAGGCAGGAACCTAGGTATGTTAACAACAAAAGAGGAAAAGAAATTGGTAAATCATAGTGTGATACTGTCCTTGGTCCTTAAGAATAGGTCAAGTTGCCTCTTGAAGGACTCCTGAGAAGTCGCTTAGACTAGCTCGGCCGGCAGCGAATTCCAGCTTTTGACAACTCTTAAGGAGTAGAAGTTGTGTCTACATCCCGTCTTGCTATGTTGAGTTTCCACTTTCTGGGTGTTACCCCTTAGGTTATTATTCGAACTAAGCTTAAGTAGGTGTTTAAGAGGATGTCCAGAAGTGTTAAGAATACTATGAGCCAATAATAAATCACCTCTAAGACGCCTAATGGGTAAAGGTCTAGTGAATGGAGGCGTCCTTCGTAAGGCTTAGGTTTGAGTCCTCGAACTGATTTCGTGGCTCGCCGTTGGATACGCTCCAAAGTGACCTGGTCCTTTTGGAGTGAGGGGAGAGTACTATGTTTCCGTACTCTAAATGGGGACGGATATAACTATTGAAGATTGTATGGAAAGTTCTTCCGTCAAACTGGCCAAAAATGCGCTTCAATGTTACCAGTGCAAGGTTTGCCCGGAAGGCATTTTTGTCACAATTAGCGTAAGACTTTAAGTCATGGGGCACCAGGACTCCTAAATCTTTTTCGACTTGGGATACTACTAGAGAGGAGTTTCCTAAGTTGTAACTGTAGTTTGCGACATGTCGCAGATGGACTACTTTACACTTAGAAGTGTTAAAGGTAAGTCCGTTATCGTCTGCCCAACTTTGAAGTCGAGTCAGATCCTCTTGAAGTGCCTGTATATCGTCTTGGTTGCGTATCTCTCTCCAAAGTTTCACGTCGTCGGCAATAAGTAATAAGTCTGACGTTACCTGTTGAGGAAGATCATTTATGTAGATCAAGAAGAGAAGAGGCCCTAGTACTGAGTCCTGGGGGACCCCACTAGGACATTCCATAGCCTGAGATAAAGTGAAATTAACCCTAACCTTAAAGTGTCGATTTTCTAGGTATGAAGTAAGCCAATCGATTAGAGGTGGTTTGACACCTAGTTGTTTGAGCTTATTGATAAGACATGTATGGTTAACCTTATCAAAAGCTTTTGAGAAATCAAGGTAAATGATATCAACCTTTCCCTTGCGATCGAGGATGCTTGTCCATCTGTCCACCGCAGTCAGCAGGTTGGTTATACAAGAGTAACCCTTCTTGAAACCATGCTGTTGGGGTGAGAAGAAATTTAAGGACAGTAGATAGTCGTTTAAACCGTCGCATTTCAGGGACTCCACGAGTTTTGAAGGTAATGACAGAAGAGCCACCGGCCGATAACTTGAAGGTTCATTGCGTCGACCACCTTTGAAAATTGGTGTGATGTGAGCCAACTTCCAATTTCCCGGTAGTTTGCCTCGGCTTAGCGAGTGTGAAAACATCACGCTAAGCGGCGTTGCCAGGATTGAGGCTGCCTCCCTCAGTATGGCAGAATGAACCATATCTGGGCCAGGAAAAGTATCTAGTCTTAAGTGCTGCAGTTCCCGAAACACCAAGTCAGCGCTTAGGTCCACTTCAGGAAGTCCTGTGGAATTGCAGATGAAACTGTCGTCAATAAAGGTGATGTCAGCCGGCTGAAATGTTTGAGAGTAATGTGCCGCCAGAAGGTTAGCGGCGTCACCATCGTTGTTGGTCGGGCCGTTAAGACCTAGCAGTTGAGAAACTCCTGTTTTGGCTTGACGAAGAGAGGCTGCATAACGGAATAGGCTTCTAGGGTTAGAAGCAAATTTGTCCATAAGCTTTGTCTGGTACTGAAGCCTGTCTTCTCTTATAGCCTTCGTGCATATGTTCCTGATATGTTTATATTGCCTATACGCTCCGTCGTTATTAGTTCGTTTGTATTCCGCCCAACAGTGCCTTTTACGGCTTAGGAGGCGAAGGGTACGGTTCTTGATTACTGTAGGTGGCTTACAGCTTTTGGGAACCGTTTGAGGAACTGAATGGTTTGTAGCACATAAGAGCGTGTGCAGTAAGAAGTTCCAATGACCATCCACATCGAGTTGGGGGTGAACATCCCAAACCACCTGTTGTAGATAGTCATGTAGAGCTGGCACTTTCAGCCGTTTAAAATTCCAATGCAAATTATTGTTGGGATACCTTAGCTTAGTTTTGATGACAAAACTGAAGGCTATGACGGCATGATCGCTTTTTCCCAGAGGAGCCAGGATTGAGAGGTTGTCAACTAGGAATTCTTCGTTTGTGAATACACAGTCTAACCGCGATGGTGTCTGACTGTTTCTCCAACGAGTTGCCGACCTCACATTTTCGTATAATCCCAAGTCATCGATGAGGTTGAAGAACCGAGCTTCAGTTGAGTTGTCGCCTCCAGTGTACGTGTGTTCCGCGAAGTTGACTCTAGGGAGATTGAAGTCCCCTAGAACCAGGATGTGTGTGAAACCGAGACGGGTAGAGCGGGATAGTCCTTCCAGCATATGACTATCGTACTCGATGTCGGCAGT